AGTTAGGTTAGGTTAGGTTAGTTTAGGTTGGGTTAGGTTATGTTAAGTTAGGTTAGGTTAGTTTAGGTTGGGTTAGGTTAGGTTGGGTTAGTTTAGGTTGGGTTAGGTTATGTTAAGTTAGGTTAGGTTGGGTTATGCTCGTCTTTGTAACCGCTATAAATGTCACAATGCCGTCACAGTGGCCGCGTGGTCTGAGGCGTGGGCCTTGTGCCGCTTGGTCGCTGGGACCGTGGGTTCGAATCCCACTCAAACCATGAATGTTTGTCCGCGTTTTTCTGTGTTGTGCTGTCCTATGGACAGGTAGAGGCCTTGCGACGGGCCGATCCCTCGTCCAAGGAGTCCTACCGAATGTCCATAGATCAAGACAACGAAAAGTTGGGACCCGCAGATGCTCAAGGCCTAAGTATCCTAAGTATAAATGTCACAAACATAAACAGGGAAATATAGAATTTGTGAAGATCCACGACTTTTATTTGAAACGTTTTTCGATGTGTTTTATTTTCAACGGAACCAAAGCATGACTCTTCAGCGCAACGAAAGATTTGTATCTCCGTCAGTTTAACATCGCAGTTCCTATCGGGGAATGAGACATTACAGAGAACGCATCCGAAAGACTCCACGCTGTTATTAACGTCTTATACTGAAAGTCACATACAGAAACCTTCCTTCTCTGAGGTGGTCACGGATAATCCCGTCGTCATATTGGCATTTAAAGTGGACAACCTTGACTACAAGGCCATAACATGGCATAGAAGTTTCTCTCCACACGATGTCTTGATTTCGTAAGGCATCATCCTTATGTAAGAAACAGCACCAAACCATACCATAACTATCTAAAAACGTGCTTCGGTTGATTAACTTTGATTAGTTCCAAGTATTTAAACGAAGTCTTAGATAAAAATTACACGGATCAGTAAAACACGAAAGTATTATGTTACAAAACGTTTGTTCGCTGTACAACGTCACGTCGACTGTCTAATCTCCTGCTGTCGCCCTATCATGTTGTTCTCTGCTTGATTTTTAACGCGAATGGTCTTATGTCCCTAATAATGAAGGTAGCAAGGACCTCTGAAACGTCGGTAGACTTCTACC